GTAATAAACTGACGGGTATAATTTCGTACCAGAAACAATGATAAAATAAGTTCTAAATAAAATGTCGTGCGATCTATGTAATAAACTTACGGGTATAATTTCGTACCAAAAACAATGAAAAAATAAGTTCTAAATAAAATGTCGTGTGATCTATGTAATAAACTTACGGGTATAATTTCGTACCAGAAACAATGAAAAATAAGTTCTAAATAAAATGTCGTGCGATCTATGTACTAAACTTACGGGTATAATTTCGCACTAGAAACGATCATTGAATTCATAGGTCCTAAGCCCAATACACAAATACTGAGCCATACTCAAACATAAAAAAATAAAAATGTCTCGTTATTTGCAAGCATCATCGTTAAACTTGTTCCACGAAAACTGTTTACCTTTACCATAGATAAATCATAAATAACGATAAGCTAATGCAAGGAGAATAATCGGTTTTATTGATTAAGATGTTCTGTTTAGTTGCTGAAATTACTCCTAATTATCTTGAATGACAACTATGCTCGTTATCAGTACAGGGTTCGGTTTGAAACTGATAAACAAAAAGAAATACAATACCAAGGTAGCAAGGGTGTATAAATCATGCGTTAAAACCATAAATTACTGTTGCGAAATACCTACACTTCCTGTATATGTTGTTTAAAATAATAATAAAGGAACAGAGTAAATATAACTGTTTTTTAATGATTTTCGTTGTACTAGTAACACAATAAAATTTTTAAAATTGTAGGTAAAAAATTATATCTAAAATAGAAATAAACACAATAGAACAGTATGTAAATAAACACAATAGAACAGGATGTAGATAAACACAATAGAACAGTATGTAAATAAACACAATAGAACAGGATGTAGATAAACACAATAGAACAGTATGTAAATAAACACAATAGAACAGGATGTAGATAAACACAATAGAACAGTATGTAAATAAACACAATAGAACAGGATGTAGATAAACACAATAGAACAGTATGTAAATAAACACAATAGAACAGTATGTAAAGCGTCATGGGCTAAATTGTTTTACAAATAATAAGAAATTCACATACAGTCCACAAACTGAAGGATCCCTGCGCTCCTGAAAGACTTCAAAGTCATAAACTAAATTATCTGGGCTTGAAACAAATTCTCGGGTACACAGTTGGCAACTTGGCATAAACTCAGGAAATGACGTCACAAGGTGATAACTCCCTGATATTGGATTTTTGTTTAAATAAAGAATATAAAAACAATTTATATTTTTTTACATATTGTTGACTATGTATCATCTAATTATCCAAGTTATGTACGTCATGGTGAATATAGAAATATATTGGAAATTGCTGAAGTATGGGATAAACCTTTATTACAGACTCACATAATTTTAGTAAATAATAAGTATGTTCATGATATAAGACTGTTAAAGTTACCTTATATATGTTTGTGTTATCACAGTGTTACAATGCACAAACATCTAATTTGCTGTTTCTATATATGCTTATGTTGTTATCGTATTTCAATATCCTAATTGCTTAAGTTACACTACAATGAAATCTGAAACATTTGTAATTTATGGTGAACGCCAGTTGTTTGTCATTATATAACATTATAATGGGCCATACTATAGAAAAGAAATTGTACTATTAATTTTCCAGTTGTAAGTGTGAAAGTGAACCGAATATTTGGGACATACTATACAAAATAAATTGTACTATTAACCTTCCAGTTGTAAGTGTGAAAGTGAACCGAATATTTGTGCCATACTATACAAAATAAACTGTACTATTAACTTTCCAGTTGTAAGTGTGAAAGTGAACCGAATATTTGAGCTATACTATACAAAGTAAATTGTACTATTAACTTTCCAGTTGTAAGAGTGAAAGTGGACCGAATATTTGGGCCATGATATCTATATAAGGAGAATTATATTATTAACTTTCCAGATGTAAGTGTGAAAGTGAACCGAATATTTGGGCCAGGATATCTATATAAGGAGAATCATATTATTAACTTTCCAGTTGTAAGTGTGAAAGCGAACCGAATATTTGGGCCATAATATGTATATAAGGATAATTATATTATTAACTTTCCAGTTGTAAGTGTGAAAGTGAACCGAATATTTGGGCCATACTATACAAAAGAAATTATATTATTAACTTTCCAGTTGTAAGTGTGAAAGTGAACCGAATACTATACAAAGTAAATTGTACTATTAAGTTTCCAGTTGTAAGTGTGAAAGGGAACCGAATATTTTCTTCCTGTTAGGGCTTTTTTAACTTCGTTTACATATTTTAACAGGCTAAACGCCTATGGTTTGTTATGTAACCCGAACAAAATTCATACATTGGTTTTTATATATCATCAATTTGTTTTACTATACAAGTATACGTAAATTAATAACATAAACCTAACTAACCAGATCCAGCTCATCAGAATATTAGAACAAAATCGAAATGATATTATGACTCATTGAATATATAAATTTATAATTTCAGGTTATCTTCAATACATTTTTTTTCTCTGAAAACAAAAGGATTTGCATTTGGAATATAACTCGAGTTACTATGAATTATTCATATTCTGAAACGTTTGATCTTTGCGTACCATGGATTGCTGTGATGACGTAATTGCCAAACTGAATCCTTTAGTGTAGCTGATTAATACATTATTCCTTCTAAAAAACAGATCCTCATACAGTCACCTTTGACCTTTCATGGATTGCTGTGATGACGTAATTGCCAAACTGAATCCTTTAGTGTAGCTGATTAATACATTATTCCTTCTAAAAAACAGAGCCTCATACAGTCACCCTTGACCTTTCATTCTCGCAGTGCAAGCCCAGTACCATTTATACTGCTGGTCATATAACTGGACACTGAATAAGACAGAGAACGTCTTTTCATAGTTTAGTTTATCTGAAGTATACCCATAGTCAAGATCTTGAAGCAATTGCGCTAACAAAAAAATAAGGCTTGAGTTTGGCAAAATAAAGAAAAAACTACAAGCATGGTATTTATACGAAAAGAAAATGGAAATAAGTTAATAAAACTGAAAAACAAAGTAATCTAAGTGAAGATTACATACAAACATTATGGCAACTTAACATATACCTTGGTTTTATATTGTAGTTGCTATTTCTGAAACATAAAAATAAACTTTACTCAAAGCTTTATTTTGAACCAAATTGAAACGTTTCTTTTTTAGTTCTAGTAATGAGTTGAATTCAGAATCCACGAGTTCAAGCAATTTCAGAGAGAGAGAGCAATTAAGGAGCAGCATCCTACCACCTGTGGAAGAAGAAAAGCCTAATCCAACCAATGATACTGGACTTCATAGACAAAAGAATCATTGCTATAGAAAATTTTATCAGAGAAATTAGCCGCTTGGAAGTTTATAGGTAGATATTATCGTTATAAATAAAGAATTCATGTTATGAAACAAACTTCGTGTAATGATAGGTGATACTGGACTTCATAGACAAAAGAATCATTGCTATACAAAATTTTATCAGAGAAATTAGCCGCTTGGAACTTCATAGGTAGATATTATCTTTATAAATAAAGAATTCATGTAATGAAACAAACTTCGTATAATGTTTGGTACTATACAATGGGCTATCTAAACTCTGTCCACCGTGGGAATCGAACCCCGGATTTTAGTCCTTAAACGTATCGCTGTCTTGCCATGGAACAGTTTTGTAATAATTATTTATCTTTTGTCATATCATGACTGCTTTCCTTTTTATGCACGAACATGGTGTTGATGCAGATATAAAGAAATGTTTGTTTGTTTTTATTAGCTGTAAGTCAAGTACAAGCGGCTGGCTTCATTCTTCATCAGAATCTGGACGGGTCTCAATTCGACATTCAAATTCGTTTGTGACTTTTGCTTTGAAGCTGTTAAAATAGGATCAATGCCAGAAGAACATGGGGATGTAGAGGTAAATGATTCAACATTTTGGGATGTTGTCAGTTGCAGTGGAGTGGATTATCTGACATAACAAAAATCTGTTCTTGTCCTATAAATGATCTCATTGTCCATTCCATAGTATTGGAACTATCTACCTCTAGTAGCACACATTGGAACTATTCGCCTCGTAGCAGCACACTTTTAAACTGCTCGACTCCAAGTAACACAACTTGGAACTATCCGCTCCCTGGTACCATTTTGTGAAAGAATGATGTCACGTGACCTCCAAGACTCAAACGACATTATCCAAAGGGCGATATTCTTTGATTTCCACTCCCCGAAGACCTCCCTCCCAACTACTTTTATGCTTCCTGTCTGTCAGTAGTGGGAATTTTTCTAGTAATTGTTTGTATAGGTGAGGCAGGTAGCTGTAATATATTTAATTCATTCAGAATTTAAGTTTCCTCTATCGGGGTCTCTCATATTATTATGAACGTTGCGCACTGTAGCAACCACTTGAACGTTCTGAGAAAACATCAAGTAATGTTAGTAACAACGATAAGCGTTCATTACAAATTTCATGAATCGCTCGTATAGAAATCAAATAGCTTCTTTTCATAGGAGCAGGACTGGTCTTGTGATCAGGACGCCATATCGTGAATCTGAAGGTTCACGACTCGTGTCCTATTGCCAGAAACGCCATCTGTGTGTGTGTTATAAGAGTGACAGATAAATCCCATTATATGATTAGTGTGGATACTTTTTTCTAGTTATTATCGCTCTAGCCTGTGCAAAGATTAGGGATGGCTAATAAAACAATATTTTGTATTGTCATACTTTGTTTGTGATAAAAATATAAAGAGGATATCCGCTTATCAAACCAGTAGATAATAAAAATTTCTTAACAAAACTGTATAAGTCCTGTTAGTCCAATACATCTTTTTTTATATGAATTTAGGTAAAAAATATATTACATTTATCTACATAACTACCCATCAATTGAAACATGCAATAGTGTTGTATGTTTCAAGACTGAGATACGGGTTATTGCATCATGTACGTCATACATTATCGTCCTGGTTTATAAATGATCTGAACAAAGTCAGATCAGTAACTATTTACTTCTCAGTGAAGTACGGCTTACAAAAACAAGTCTCTAGCTTTTTAATTAAGGATGAAGACAATCAATCCTTTCATTCTCATTATTTTATTTCTACATGCGTTCCATAATGTTGGGGCAGTTGTTGAAGTAAACAACAAGAACGGATATGTCGGAGTTGTTGTGGGTATGAGCAGGAGAGTGGAGATGGACGAGAACCTAATCCAAAAACTGCAGGTAGATTTATCTGAGTAGTAAAACTGTTTTCATTCAAACATATTATTAGGTTCTAAAGTACCTTGTACGTTGAATATATTTTAATACTTGATAAATAGGTTTTATAATGATGTTGATACTTTACATTTAATCTGAAATCACGAAATGTTTTTTGTTAATATTCGGAACGAACAAACGATTTTTAGTGTCAAAAGTAAGGATGAAGAGCGTACTTCGATGATGATTTCAACACTGTTATCGGTAAGTTGTAAATAGCATGTTCGGTTCGTTAATGGCTCCTTCAAAGTAGATGTTTATCGCAAACAGGATATAAGTGCGCGTCCACCACTCTTACATAAAATATTGTTGTTTAGTAAGATCGTTCTGTATTAACTACTTAAAACCCGACAAAATAATGCGTGTTACTCATTTTCCCATAAAATATTGTTGTTAAGTAAGATCGTTCTATATTAACTACTTAAAACACGATAAAATAATGCGCGTCCACACACTCTTACATAAAATATTGTTGTTAAGTAAGATCGTTCTGTATTAACTACTTAAAACACGATAAAATAATGCGTGTTACTCATTTTCCCATAAAATATTGTTGTTTAGTAAGGTCGTTCTGTATTAACTACTTAAAACACGATAAAATAATGCGTGTTGCTCATTTGCCCATAACATATTGTTGTTTAGTAAGATCGTTCTATATAAACTACTTAAAACACGATAAAATAATGCGTGTTACTCATTTTTATATTAAATATTGTTGTTTAGTAAGGTCGTTCTGTATTAACTACTTAAAACACGATAAAATAATGCGTGTTACTCATTTTTATATTAAATATTGTTGTTTAGTAAGGTCGTTCTGTATTAACTACTTAAAACACGATAAAATAATTCGTGTTACTCATTTTCACATAAAATATTGTTGTTAAGTAATAATTGTTCTGTATTAACTACTTAAAACACGATAAAATAATGCGTGTTACTCATTTTCCCATAAAATATTGTTGTTTAGTAAGATCGTTCTATATTAACTACTTAAAACACGATAAAATAATGCGTGTTACTCATTTTCACATAAAATATTGTTGTTAAGTAATAATTGTTCTGTATTAACTGCTTAAAACACGATAAAATAATGCGTGTTACTCATTTTCCCATAAAATATTGTTGTTAAGTAAGATCGTTCTATATTGACTACTTAAAACACGATAAAATAATGCGTGTTACTCA